CAGATTCACTGTTTGTTTTTATACGTGAAAATATCTTGACTTCTATTCATGATAGATGAGTGTTTTTGTCATCGAAGGCAAAACAAACGAAAAAGCTTTAAAATGATGCCAATGACTCCCCATGTCCAAAAATTAACGAGTGCCTGATTCCATCGCAAAGTGACACATTTGGTTTTAAACAAGAGGCACATTTATCTCTTCTCCTCCACAGCAACTGTTTCCTAGATAAGGGCTAAACTAATGTAAATTAATGTTGAAACAGAAGTACCGTACTGCCACAGCATATAATGGATTATCAAAGTCCATGCTGGGGAGAGGGGGTGGTAAAAGGACACTGCCAAGATTCACTCTGCACGCACCTTCAAAGTGTTGGGTTTTTTATGTTTATTCTAATGAATGAAAACATGGTGAATCCTTCTCCTTAAGGTGAGTCCAAGTTTTTCCGTGAATCCAAGTTCCGTGAATGTGAGTTTCAGGGCATTAAAAAAACATTAAATGTTCTGAAAATTTATAATCAGAATATTTGAAGAGCAGAGAAGAAAAATGAAAATGGTTCCCTTACTCACCCTCCATAGTGTAACTAAACCCTCCTCACGAACAATCCTAGCAAGAGCATTGAACACACTTGTGTAGCCTCTCCTCTGGTCTGCAGGCAATCTGGTTTAAACAAATAAAATATGATGAGGACAAGCAATTAATACAAAAATATATGTACCAAACTTTTGTCACAATCATTGCAAATGGAAACTAATCTGGTGCAAAATGAGGAGAGCTGAATGATTTAACATTAACGAGTCTTTAAAATCTTTAGTTTTTTTGTGTTTTCAAGCACATGTGCGATAACCTTGAGAAACACACTGAAGAGAGCTGTTTTTCTTCGTTGAAGAGTCAAACCCACCAACTGACTGTAAACAAAACGCAAAAGACATTGCTCACATAGAATGTCTGAGCCAAGAGGTAAAACTGAAGTCAAGTGCTGTAAAAGGCACTAAAGTCAAACCTGCTCTCAGGGCTATCTGAACAAGACAATCACTTGGACAAATGACCCATTTCTATTTCTCCTTCTGCGTTTTTAAAAATGTTAAATTGAAACAGTTCAAGATGTCCACCTGTCTGAGACAGCCATTTTTCTCCTTGACAATGAGTGGTTGTCTTGGAATATTTCGATGGTATTTCCTAAAGTCACTTCAATGTTACAAGATAGTAGCCTTAGTTGAAACAGGAGTACTGTAATGTTACAGCATACAATCGATTATCAAAGCCCAAGTTGTGTAGAAGCAAACTGCTCAAATACCCCCTTACGTCGCAAGATGGATTGTTTGCACAGTAAGGCTATTAACAAACTGGGACTTCGGATATAAACATCGTCTCTGATAAGACCAACCGTTTTTAACCACTGAAAACCAAGAATGACGTCAACTCCGATTATAACAGATATCATGATCAAAAACATAAGTTGTACTGCAATACACAAACTAAAAAGAAAGGCTTGCTGCACTTTCTATAGACCATACCTTCCATCTGCTGTCATACGTATAAGGGCTACCTCAGCAGGGGTTCCAACGAAAGCACCAATGCCTCCTGCAGTAACACCTAAAAATGCCTTTGTGATGAAGTTTGGTGGCTTCCCATCTCTGCAAAGAGGCAAAAGGCATGAAATAGAGTGAGTGAGACATGGTGTTGTTTAGAATCTAAATTTTTCTTATTCTTAGTCGTTTTCTACTCAATTTAGGTCCTCTGAGACAGAAATGTCTGGCTTAAAGTATTTCTTTTGCTGAGTTTTTACGGCGCACGCAACTGCATAAGGTCATATGAGTGCCAAGAGGTGGATGTCAGCAGAGAAGACCATACAGGGAATCAGGCTTACTCTGCTCACATGTCCAGCTTCAACAGCACAAAGTCTACTTCGATTATCAAGGTACCTCGGAAATAGCGGGTCACAAGGGTGTGACAAACATACAAAAGAAGTAGAGAAAAATTGATGAAAAGAAAAAGCAGCAGTTCCCTGTTGCAGTTCAGGCACAGTAAAGAGCTTGACATTGATGAATCAGCCCATTTACAATTCTTCTGTGCATAAGAACATGTTAATGTCCTCCATTTGGGAATGGCCCAAAGATACTTCAGTCTGTAGCACCGCCCGCGAAGGGGTTAAAGTGTTTAAAGGAATAGCAATCTTTGAAAATATGGAAGTAAGAAAAATATAATCACATCAAATAAAATCGATCAGTACCCCCAATCCTCCGCCCACCCCAGCCCCAAAAATAATTATCTCTCACACACACACACACAAAGCACAACACACACATAATATAAAAGATTTTTTAAAGAATCAGTACAGAAAGCAAGAAAAAAATCACACTCACTTTGAAAAAAAGTCGAAAAGGGTCATGTATATACCCAATCTAGTGGTGGTGTATGTGGCTTGTCGTAGCAGACCTGCTGATAAACTGGAAATGGGATTTTTAAAAACCATTAGTGTCATTGAGTGGAAAAAGTATTACAAAAATCAGAAACTTCAAAATGGCAAAGCAATCAATAATAATAGAAATTAAATAGTCAAACTCGTTTCGTTTAACCAATTTGACAATCTTCATGTATAACTTAATTTACGATCCATAAATTCATTTAGATATAAACAACAACCCCCCCCCCAAAAAAAAACCCCAACACAAAACAATAAAATATCCCCCAAACAAACTGGACAACATGACCAATCTGCAATTTATGATACATCCATCTATAACTCTCTTGTTCTATCCATCCATCCATCTTAACACCTGATCTATTTACACAAAGATACACACTAATGAACCACTCCAAACACAAACCATACTTGCCTTTCTCAACAACACCAAAGGACAAGGGTGTCTCCTCGCTGACCTCGTGAGGACATGACGTAACAAAAATCAGCAAAGGGATGTAGAAATTTTTAGTTTTCCTAAAAAATCCTTGAAAATCAAAGTCCAATACATACTATATAATTATGCACCCACATCGTATTCTTTTCATGAAACATTTGAAAATAAAACAAGCAACCCACAAAAAACAGCTAAATGTCTAATGTAGTACTCACCCTGTGTAAATTCCTGTGACTCCCTCGTTCCTCAAGATGGATGACAGAGCATGGAAGCTCGTCTTATAGGCTTTCTTACCACCACCCTCACCTGTGGGCATAGGCAAATGTATAATATGTAAAAAAAAAATACATCCACTTTAAGCTGTGGGAATTGTACTGGCATGGCAAACACGTAATACCGTCACAGTCACAAGCAATCTAATTAAATCCAACTTTTGAGAATATTTTATTTCTACACTCTCCTAAACCTCTGCCAAAGATGCACCTTTCAACATCACCAAAATGCAGTTTAACGCTATGGTCAAGGTTTAAAGTTTTTTTGTGATTCCTGATAGGAACAACACATTACCTTCCCTAAGATCAGGGGTATGGCAAAGACAGTAGTAAGAAGGAGCCAAGGAGTAGCAGTAAAAAAGCTGCAGAAAGAGTCAGAAGCACAGACGAGGGGGCAAAAGTGGAGACAAAAGCAGAGGACAGAACATGGTTTGAGAGCAGGACAGGAGGTAAAACGAGAACATTTTTGAGAAGAAAATTTTCTGTAGCTGTGCCAGGTTTCGAACTCGGGACCTATTGAATGAGAGGAGAACACCAAAACCTCTAGACCATGAGAGCCCTCAAAACTCATAAAATAAAAAAAAAGCAAAAACTATAATTT